AGTAGTAGAGCATTGCATTAGCAGTAGCAGCCACTCTTTATAAAACCACCCTTTCCTATTCGAGAGTTCAATGGAATTATTTCGAGAGCATAAATAATCATCCACAGAGTGTTTCGCTCTATCACAGCTCATCAGTGTGGCTAGATTTAAACAAAATAAAATCTGCTGGACAACCTTGATTGGAAACCGGTGTAGGAGAAAGAAAAACTGGAAATCAAAATTTTATGCAACCCTGGCGTAGGAAATACTATGCAGCTAAGGAAAGGATCGCTCGCATTGGCTCGATAATCACGACTACAATTGAATATATGTGTTGTCAATTCTCAAGAATAAAGAACATGTATAAAATCACTTTCATATGTTCCGGGTTTATTTCAAATCTAATCATCGCTTTTTAAAACAATAAATACTGCCGATTAGTGAAGATAGTTAAATTAATATCGGTCTCAAGAAAAAAACCGTCGTATAGACAGTTCATTTGTTTTCGGGCACAAGATCCATGTCTGTTAAATACATTTACTAATATTTAGTAATATTCAAGAAAGTATAACCGAATGTATGCCACCGTACTTGACAAAAATATTCAAAATAACGTTTCATTGAAACAATGAGTATATCATCATGATTATTAACCATTTCTATTTATCAATATATTAACAAGTCTAATCTATCTGTCTCTCTACTTATATATATATATATATATATATATATATATATATATATATATATATATATATATATATATATAAATAAACACATATAAATATAGATAGATAATTATATATATATAATCATGAATCAATGATGTCATTATCACTGAAATTTGTAGACGTGACTATGCAGATGTGACTGAACCGGTTATTTTGTTAATCATTTCACCCCATGGAAGGCAATAAAGCCACTAAAACACAAGGGGTCAGTGAGTGTGATCGAATAAGAAAAAAAGAGCATCTTTATTAATGAGCGAGAACAATAAAAGAAGAGGAATCAAGATGGCAGATAACTGCATTTAAATTTTTCAAGATCAAAATTGGTTTAAAAATAAGAAGCCGAAAGAGATTTCCACAAGCGAGGTCTGCGAGAAAAAAAATGCAAAAATATTAAAATGTGGCACAAGGCCAAAAGTGGGGATTGGTTAAGGCTGATTTTAATATGTCTTAATTTTATCTAGCCACGGTTACTGACCATTAGGGTCAGTAACCTCAGTATTCTTTATACCAAAACAACACATAACTTACCATTCTTACTACAACCTCCACAATACCTCAGAGTCTCTAATCCTAACTGGTCCCTCTATGTATAGTTTCCCTGTGGTGGTGCTGAGCGATATTTCATCAGAACATTTACTATTGAGATACTTATAGAAAATTCATGAGGAATCTAAATTGATAGCGGTGACAAAGTTCCTGAAGCCGAGATGCCAATGACATTACGGATTCTTTTTTGGATGTTATCAAGAATCTCTAAAGATATAGCAGAAATAATGGACCAGATGTGGCTGCAATATTTAAATCATAGAGAGAGAGAGGGACCAGATATGGCAGTAATATTTAAATCAGAGAGAGAAAAAGAGAGGGAACAGATGTGGCAGTAATATTTAAATCAAAAAGAGAGACATATATATAGAGAGAGCAGGACCAGATGTGACAGCAATATTTAAATCAGAGATAGAAAGACTAGATGTGACAGCAATATTTAAATCAGAGAGAGAGAGAGAGAGAGAGAGAGCGAGGGACCAGATCTGGCAGCCATATTTAAATCAGTGAGAGAGAGAGAGAGAGAAACCAGATGTGGCAACAATATTTAAATCATATATATAGAGAGAGGTGGGGGACCAGATCTGGCAGCGATATTTAAATCAGAAAGAGAGAGAGAGAGGGACAAGATGTGGCAGCAATATTTAAATCAGAGAGAGAGAGAGAGAAAGACTAGATGTGGCAGCAATATTTAAATCAGAGAGAGAGGGGGGACCAGATGTGCCATCAATATTTAAATCACACAGAAAGAGAGAGAGAGACAAGAGAGACAAGAGGGCAGAGAGAGAGAGAATTATAAATATGTAAGATATATTCTGGAGAGAAAAATTGTCTAGCATGACACTGTGAATCTATTCATCGTTTGCTGGTATTTATTGATAAAGATATTTCATTTCGGGATATACGATTTCCTTCTGGTATCTTCAACCATGCAGGATTTCCGGTTAATGTAACTCTAAACCAAACACAGTTCCAACCGATTCATTTTCTTCTTTTTTTTTTTTTTTTTGATTAAAAGTTTAGTCTTCAAAATGAAGATTCACAAACTTTGTATGCTATATTACGTTGATTGAAAAAATTGAAATCAATTTGGGTGAGTTAGATCGATATTATCATCAAGAGGACAGGGACATTCTTTCTGTCGCGAAAACCTGATCGATGGAAATAAAGAGATATACGTATATATATATCTCCTACTAGGAAAATAGAGAGAATGAATGAAAGAAAAAAGGAAAAAGGGGAAAAGAAAGTAGAAATAATTGAAGAAAAATGGAAAGAAAAATAAAGAAAAAAAAGAATAAAGAAAAGAAAGGAGCCAAATAAACGAAGAAAGAAAGGAAGAAAGGAAAGAGAAATATGGAAGGAAAATGAGAAAGAAAATGAAGAAAGAATGATAAAGAAGAAACGAATTAAATAGTCATTTAAAAAACGGTAATATAAAGAAAAAATGAAGGAAAATATGATAGGAGAAAAATAATGAAAAAAAGAAACACTAAAGGGATAAATAAAGAAGAAAGAAATAAAATGAAGGAAAAGAACAAATAAAAGGGAAAAATAAAAAAAAAGAAAGAAAGACAAAGAGTGAAAAAAACTAAAGGGAGGAATAAAGAAGAAAGAAAAAAAAAGCAAATAAAAAAGTAATCTAGAAGAAGAAGGAAAAATTAAAATAAAGGAAAAATATAAAAAATAATAAAGAATGAAAAAAAATGAAAGGGAAAAAGAAAAAAGTAAGCTACAAAAAGTATGAAAAATAAAAAGTAATGGTTAAATAGAAAGAGTAAGAAATATAAAAATAAAAATGACAATAAAGGAAACTAAAAAGAAAGAAAAGAATGAAAAAAGAAAAAAGAAAGGAAAATAAAAAAAGCAACATACAAAAGGAATGAAATCAAGAAAGAGAAAAGTAAAGAAGAAAGAAAATAAAAATAAAAATAAAGCAAAGAATAATGGAAAAATAAAAAAAAGAAAGAAAAAATGAAGAAGCAAAAAGCGAGGAAAAATTAAAAAGAAAGTTAGAAAAAGAATGGAAATGAAAAAATAAAAGAAAATAGAAAAAGAATGAAAAAGAAAAGGAAAAATGAAAAATAAAAATGTAAAAAAATGAAAAATCAAATTGAGAAAGTGAGAAACGGATATATAAATGAAGAAAGAAATTATTATTTAAAGAAACAAATAATGAAAATTAAAAAAAAATGAAGAGCGAAAAAGGAACATAGAAAGATGAAATAGAGAAATAAAGGAAAAAGGAAAAATAAATGAATTCAAAAAAAAAAATATCATTTCACCCGAAGCAAAGCGATAAACGCGAACTTATTACCCCCTTGCGTCTTAGTGGAAAGTGAAGCAAAAGAAATTAAGAAGACAGAAGATAAGGATTGATATTGCATTTAAATTTTTGAAGATCATATTTGGCTAGAAAGCTAGAAGCCGGAATAAATAAACCAGTAGCATAGAACTTAGGGTTACATATAGGTATTTCATATGTAAAATTATGAGACCTAATTGCCAATCCGGTACTGCGCTTAAGGTCATAAATTCTAGGTAGCATAGAGGAAATTTCATAAGAATAATTACCGTGAAAATATTTCTAGAATAGGCATAACAAGCTACGTTTTGGTGGTGGGAGAGGGATTGAAGCCGAGATGCCAGGTCAGAATCAATAACATATATATATATATATATATATATATATATATATATATATATATATATATATATATATATATACACTTTACTAAGCAGAACCAGAAATGGTTTCAATATAATCTTTCCATTATTTCCAGAAAAAATATTATTTATCTATGACTCTGAGATGGAGTATTAGGAATACTTGCATTATCTACATTATTCGGATTGTTATCCTCATCTTAATTGTCATATTCACAACGTTTCGGCCGTTGTAAGCTCCAGTCTTCTTCAGGTGATTGGAATTTCGAATCAAACCCTTTATTCTACTTCCACGTGACATGCCTCAGTTATTTCCATTTAACTCAGTTCTCCAAATTTTGTGTTACCACTGCTGTGGCCTGGTATTGAACTCAACTCTTTGGGTCGATTCACTGGATCTAACCAACGTCTATATCCACCGTTGGGAAGACGAGTTGAACCAAAATTTGGAGAGTTGAGTAATATGACGGAAGGCAAAATGAAAAAAAGAAAGAAAAAAAAATTACCCATTATATAGAGAGATAGATAAAAACAGACTGCAATTGATAAATATTTAATATATATTCTGTTTATACGTTATTTTTATAGATACAATTTATTTAAATAAATGCTGTTTTAAATTAAAAGTTATTAATTGCATTTTTTTTTAAATTTCCTAGAAAATCTCCGTTTAGATATGGACGATCGAGAAAAATCGAAAATTGTTTGATTCTAAAAACAGTAATTTGGACTACTGCTATCCAGATTCTTTTCTGTAGCTAAATGTTATAGCATGTCATATCAAATGACTGTCTGCGTATAACATTACAGAATCGATTCCTATCTTAGAACGCATATTTTATAGAAAATTTTTCGAACATTCAGACCGGGAAATATAATAAATAATGGTTAATTAAAAATAGTGCATTTACTTAAATAAATTGTCTATGAAAATAAAATACAGATGAATTTGGCTACTTTGAGAAAAAAAAAGAAAAAAATTATTTCGAAAATATTTCTTTAAAAAATTTTGAAACTACCAGAGTCTCTCGTTTCGTGCGGATGTGTAGACGTGGTAACGTTATCCAAGCCCAGTTCGATGAAATCCTATCATCAAACGCGTAACAAAAAAGAAAACTTTCCAGTTTGTCCTATTCTTTCTTAATAGTGTATGGTGATATATAATATTTTATTTGCTCTATACGGGAAAACGTCGTTCTTCTAATAACGGTTTCGTATAGGAATAAATGTTCGATTCCTGTAGGAGAACGTCTATTTTCTAAGATATTTCGCGAACATTCAAACCTATATATATATATATATATATATATATATATATATATATATATATATATATATATATATATTTGGTTGGATAGATGTGAGTTTGTGACCCTAGGTTTCACGCGTTTGCGATCGTCAGACAAACTGATTAATTTTCAAAAAATTTTGGGTTTATGTAGATTGTGTGTATTGGTGTTATTATGGAAGTGGTGGGGGAAACGTCGTCGTTGTGTCATCGTACTAACGCAAACATCGATGTATGTTCATACGCCTAATGGAGTACGCAGACACATATACATACTTGGTCGTCCGTCGGGACTCATACATATATAAACATATGTGGGCAGTTTCGGATATGACATATATATGTATACGGGTGGTGTTGTGTCTATACATACGCATTTGTATGTTGAAATTCAAAGATTGGAAGTGTAGCGAAAATGTCTTGTGAATGTCTCGTGAATGTATACATGTCATATTTTTATTTTTCCACTGAATAATATTTCCTCGCATGTATGTATATACGTGTGGTGGGGTTTGTGTAAAATTATGATAGGTAAAAATTATTGTTGTTTATATTTATTTTTAAATTTTTGAAAAAAAAGGTGGGGGTATTTGTTATATTTAAAGCTGGTTATTTGTTTGGTTTTGATGACTGTGTATATGTAACAGGTAGAAATTTGTAATCCTTATTGGTTATTTTGTATGGTGATATTTAATATTTAATATGCTGGGTGAGGGGTAGTTTAATTTAATAATTATAGCGGGTCTATATGATATGATGTGATAGTAATGTTGCAAGGGATTGGGGAAAATGATAATATAATTAGCTAATAGTTATTGTAAATTGATAGAAATGATTAGTAATGGTGGTGGGAGAATGATAAAACCATAAATGTAGTTATCGTGGTGGTAGCTTGAACTAAAGTGGTTGTTGGTGTTTTATTTTGTTATATGTATTAATTTATTTTGGTCGTGCCTCCTCTCTCTCTCTCTCTCTCTCTCTCTCTCTCTATCTTCTATCTCTCTCTCTCTCTATATATATATATATATATATACAGTGAGAGAGAGAGAGAGAGAGAGAGAGAGAGAGGCACGGTGGAGTAATGGATATCGGCTTGGATTGAGGAATCGTAGAGCCGACTTCGAATTCCAATCGAATCCATTACATTCACTTATGTGAATCCTCTTCTTCTCCCTCCAGCTATGGGTAAATAGCAGGATAGGCTGGGTTCTATAGCCGTGGATGGCAACTGGTCTAGGAGAAGGACAATTCTGAATTCAAAACCTGCAGAGGGTCCTTTGGGGACCTTGTGGCACATAGTGTACCAGGTCTCTGTATGTGGATGGTCCTGCACGAAACCTTCAGCACTATAATCAAATCTCATGTGCTTTTTTCGGGCTGTCGGTTTCTTGGGAACTGATCTGCTTGATCCTCATATGTCGGATTCAACGGAAGAGTCGAGCATACATACATACATATATATATATATATATATATATATATATATATATATATATATATATATATATATATATATGAAGAGAGACAACGACAGACAGAAATTGATGGACAAACTGATAGGTATGTATCAATTGAAATAAATAGAAAGAAGCAGACTGATGAAGTGAGACAGACAGTCACAGGTTTAGAGACAAAGTGAGACGAACGGAGAAATTTAGAGGAAGTTATAAATTTATATGAACAACAATCTGAATTTAGCCTCATAACATAAATTACCAATTACAGTGTAACCCGGATAAAGAGACCGGATATAAGAGAAACCCGGATATAAGAGAAACCCGGATATAAGAGAGATTTTCTCTGGTCCCAAATTAGAGCCTGTGTTAATGTATACAAATAGACCAAACCCGGATATAAGAGACCCGGATATAAGAGAGATTTTCTCTGGTCCCGAGAGCCTGTGTTAATGTATATCCAAACCCGGATATAAGAGAAACCCGTATAAGAGAATTATATAAGAGACTTTTTCCGGTCCCGACAACTTTCTTATATCCGGGTTACACTGTATAAAAATTATACATACATATATATATATATATATATATATATATATATATATATATATATACAGAGATAAATACAATGATAGTCAAACACAGGCAAACAGACAGACAGGCAGATAGAGAGAGAAATAGGTAGACAGATAGATATGAACAAAATGATATATACAGAGAGAGTGGGGAGAGAGATTAGCAGCCTAAGATAGATAGATAGATAGATAGATAGATAGATAGATAGATAGATAGATAGAGATAGAATAGATATGAATAGACATGAATAGACCGACATAGATAGATAGATAGATAGATAGATAGATAGATAGATAGATAGATATGATTAAATTAATATATTAACAGAGAGACAGTCATAAAGAGAGAGAGAATATGACCTGCAAACTGATTCTGACAGAACGATATAGGGAGAACGATATATGTAAATTATTATGACTAGAAGTTAATAATGATAGATAGATAGAATGATAGATAGATGTGTACAGGCTGTCATAGATAGATAGATAGATAGATAGATAGATAGATGTCTACAGGCTGTCATAGATAGATGAGATAGATAGATAGATAGATAATGATACGAAAATTGAAATAGGCTGACGCCAATTTAGCCGGGTTTCGATCTTAGATAGAGGCAATCGGACGTCTAGCCACATTGATAAGCTGTGATATAACGAAACATTCTGTCTGTGGATGACAGTATATATATATATATATATATATATATATATATATATATATATATATATATATATATATATATAGAGAGAGAGAGAGAGAGAGAAACAGACAGAGAGAAAGACAGAGAGTGTGGGTGGAACAGATAAATTTATGTGACCAGCACCTGATTTTGACAAAACGACAGCCAGGGAATCCTATGTAAAAATATACGTATAAATTATTACGAATAGAATTTAATAGTGGTAGGTAGGTAGGTAGATAGATAGATAGATAGATATGAACAGACAGATACTTTCGACTGAGAAATTCGGATCAAGCAACCCATAAAAATGAAAAATTTAATAGCCTCATATTTTGAACTATGTAAAATGATGCTTATAAATTATTACGAATAGAATTTAGTAATAATAATAATAATAATAATTATTATTATTATTATTAGATATAGAGAGATAGATAGATAGATAAGAACAGGCAGATAGATAGATAGATAGATAGATAGATAGATAATGATACGAAAATTGAAATAGGCTGACGTCATTTTAGCCGGGTTTCGATCTTAGATAGAGGCAATCGGACGTCTAGCCACATTGATAAGCTGTGATATAACGAAACATTCTCTCTGTGGATGGCAGCATATATATATATATATATATATATATATAGCGAGAGAGAGAGAGAGAGATAGAGAGAGAGAGAGAGAGAGAGAAGGTGAGAGAGAGAAACAGACAGACGGAGAGAAAGTTAGTGTGCGTTAAGGAACAGATAAATTTATGTGACCAGCACCTGATTTTGACAAAACGACAGCCCGGGAATCCTGTGTAAAATATACGTATAAATTATTACGAATAGAATTTAATAATGGTAGGTAGGTAGGTAGGTAGATAGATAGATAGATAGATAGATAGATAGAGAGAGGAGAGAGAAATATGAACAGACAGATAATTTCTACTGAGAAATTCGGTTCAAGCAACTTATAAAAATCAAAAAATTTAATAGCCTCATACCTTGAGCTATGTAAAATGATGCATATAAATTATTACGAATAGAATTTAATAATAATAATAATAGATAGATGAGAACAGGCAGATAGATAGATAGATAGATAGATAGATAGATAGATAGATGATAGATAGATGAGTACAGGCTGTCATGTATATATATATATATATATATATATATATATATATATATATATATATATATATATATATATATATATAATAGATAGATAGATATTTACATGCAGATAGATAGATAGATAGATGAGTGGCTGTCATGTATATATATATATATATATATATATATATATATATATAGATAGATATATTTACATGCAGATAGATAGATAGATTACATAGATAGATAGATAGATAGATAGATAGATAGATAGATAGATGAGTACAGGCTGTCATGTATATATATATATATATATATATATATATATATATATATATATATATATATATTATAGATAGATATTTACATGCAGATAGATAGATAGATAGATAGATACTGAACACACCCAGGTAGATAGTTTCCACTGAGAAATTCGGTTCAAGCGCCTCGTAAAAATCAAAAATTTAATAGCCTCATATATTGAACTCTTGCACAGTGTCAGTTTTATCTTGGGGACCATCAAATGAAACTATTATCGACTAGAATACTATCATGTCAGAAAACAAATAAAAGAAAAATTACTTTCTGCGTAAAAAAAAAAAGAATAAGATAAAAAATTGTATTGGATGAAAACACCGAGAGCCGAACGAGACACATTAGTACATCTCTAGTGTAATTATATCACCAATCAGAGCAGGTTGAAATAAATACTTAAAAACATGAAACACTAAGCCGTGAAGATTTCAAATGGAGTTCACTGCGGGCGACAATAAATTGTATTTTAATAATTAAAATTCTACTCAGACGTATTCTCAACTGTTTACACTTCGCTTTAAAGTGAATTAAAAATCATGTCCCAATATATATATATATATATATGCGCGTTTTTATTTATGTGTTTCTGTGCGTAATTGCCTCTTCGTGTGCATGTATTAGTGTGAGACTTTGTTTTTCTGTCTGTATATCTTCATAAATATTTATTTACATTATCGTCAAGAGATTTGCTATACACAGTATGTTATCACCCTTCTACTATATGTCATACTTTTTCAGTGCGTTTGCGATCATAACTCTCCACAACTTCCTGAGTATTATGACTCTTAGTAAATTTTCTCATTTTGCTATATTTCCTTAACTCTGTTTGGCCCTCCATATACACAAGCTCGCTAGGTGGTTACGTGTTGTTTGGTACTGCACGTCGTGCCTTCAATATCTGCTGTGAGTATCAGATTTTCAAGCTTTCTTTCCTCATTATGTGCAATAGAAATTATAACTTTCGGATAAAGTATAAAAAACCTTTTTGTTTCTATTTTCTCTAAAACTTCGTCATTGCTCACTCTCACTGTCCGCTAACCTGAGATGGAACAAATGCACTGAATCAATAGCTTCATCTGCTGCAAGGAAAGTTGGTTCTCTGTATCGTCAGAAAGTTTTTTCTCGCCTGAGTTCATCCTTCAAATCTATAAATGAACCATTCACCTTTGCGTGGAATACTCCTGCTATATAGTCTCGAGACCTCTCTGTTCATCTCAAGGTCCTCGACAAAATCCAAAGGCATGCAATGGGATTTGTCCTGATCTGGCATCTGGTCTAGAGTCACTTTCTCACAGCCGTGCCGTCGCTTCCCTCTGTCTTTTCTACAAATACTTTCATGGTAACTGCTTCAAAGAGCTACTTTCGCAAGTCCCCAAACTGCATGAATTTAAGCGTGCTACTAGGTTGATATCTCAGTCCCACCCTTTCACTGTCGAAAAGGTTAAATATAGCCGTTTCTTCTACTCCAATAGCTTCACGTCTCGCACTTCTCGTCTGTGGAACTTCCTTTTTCTTAATTACTTCCCCGATAGCTATAATCTTCAAATGTTCGAATGTAATGTCAATCGACATCTGGCAACCAGAACTTGTTCTACGTCCATCTCTGTATCCTTTCATCAAACACACCTCTTTACTCTTGCACTCACCCTCTGTAACCCCTTGCGTGCTAGTGGTACTCCCGCCTTGCTTGGGGTGAAATGCTTAAAAAAAATGTTCGGCCATGATATGATGTGCTTCTGTGGAACACCATATTTGTTACCTAAATTATTTTCTTCATCTGGGTAGAGATTGTCCAGCATTCACTTCCATATAGAAGGACTGATATTAAATAACACTTAGATATTATTTATTAGAAATATCTAATGTACTGAAATATATATATACCCATTCAAATATAAGTGTACCCCCTGCGAAAGAAATTACAGGGTGTGGCATAAATGCAATTAAAAAAAATTTAAATGAATTCTACTTCTAAATATTTCGCCATTATTTTCTTTTGGTTTGATATTTTCCCAGCAACGAATAGGATTTATTTTTACAAAGTGTTTTAGAATTTACTATCAACAACAATTAACAGGAAGTATATAAATGAGCAACGTGAAAACGGACTGATTACACTTGAGATTTTTAAAGCTGGAAAACAATTTGGAATGAACAGAATGTATATCAAAAAGACAATCGATCGATCCACCGAGACTTCTTCCATCAAAGACAGACCGAGACGAGGGCGCCATCGCTCTATCAGAACGCCGGAACTCATTAAACGCGGGTAGGCCTAAAGCCAAGATGGTCAATGATAAAGTTGGCTAAAGAGACCGGAACATTGGAGAGAAGCATTTGAAGGCTATTTTGAAATGATCTATAGATCTCGTTCCTTCAAGTTAACCAAAGGACAGCTTCTTTCGGCAGCCATTATGAGAAAGAGGCTTCAAAGTAGTAATCATTTGTAGACACGGATTCGTGATGGCACGCTGTAAAAGATCATCTTCACTAATGAGAAGTAGGTAGGTTCGCCTGTCGCCCGGTTCAACATCCTCTCTGGTCTTTTGAACAGGAGTTGAGGTTTATCCTTTGTTTCCTGTTCAGGATTGTGGACTCTGAAATGTTATTCACTAATTCAATCTTGACCTCTTCGAGTTAGCCGTTATCTTTCCTGTAGAGCGCCAAGAACTTCACTTCTTGCCGATTCTTAAGCTCATAAAACATCACGAACTAATCCTCTACCGTGAGTGGCTCTTGGGCCTTGAATGAACATTAGTAAAAAAAAAAATTAAAATGAGAAACTGTTCGCTGTTGAAGAGAATTTTAATCATCAAAATAATTTTGTTCTTTCAGCAAATCGCCAGTCAGTTCCAGGCGCTTTTAGGAAAATACCTCAAAACCCAGAAACCGGCACCAGTTATGATTTGGGAAGCCATGTCAAACAGAGGAATGTCTCCTATTTTTTCATGCCCCAAAGAATAAAGATCACCAAAGAGATGCAGATATAAGACATCTTAGAAGGTGCAATCAAACTGAGGTGCAATGCTACTTATGGTGATGGGCATTGGACACTTCAACAAGACAGTGGTGTAGAGACAATTGACCTACCTTTATCATCAAGGACGAATCTCCAACTCATCACCAGATATCAATTTTCTTGACTGTTGTTTGTGGCCAGTTCAT